CATGCAAAGGCTGTAGGAGTTGTACTCCAGAAACAGATTCTAATGGACATCTTAACACCAGACGAGAAATTAATCATTGCCAAAGTGCAAGAATCATTAAACACCAGTTCCTTATGTGACTTAGAGGATGATGAAATAAGTAATGCAGGGACAGTACAGCCTGATCCATGTCAGACACAGTTAAATCTACTGCTACTGAAATTGTATAACTGCTTAGAGACACACTGTCAATCTGGACTGAGCAAAGCAGCACCAGCAACTACAGTTCAAGAATTCATAAAGGATGCTGTTAAAAATTATCATGGAGATAATTGTGAAGAACTCATTGAGCTAAACAATAATTGAAGAAGAGGGAATACGAACATCCAGAAAGTGACTTTAATGGTGATGTACTTTCTCTATGGCAGGCCATAGAAAACACAGCCAATGAAAATATAGGAAAGCTGCTGTATACTCTACATTCTTATATCTACTTAACAGTAACCTTCCCACTGAACACAACACGTATCTCACATTGATTTTTCACATTACTTTCTCAGATATGTTAAGGATAGAATGCTAATGAGATTCAAATTCCTTATGATAAGCATCACAAAGTGTCCTCATAGGTGAAAAGTCACCAGAACACACAATATTCTGTCAAGTATGAAGTAATATGAAAATGCCAAACGACCCTGCCAAATATGAAGTACTGATTTTAAAAACAATACTTGCATTCAATCGTGGACACAAGTGTATTTTCTATGGCATGGTATAAAATAGTTATGCAACATTTTCTTGTGGTATGCCATTGAATAATCTGCTTGTTACTTGTATTAATTTTGTTTGCATGAGCCTACCACAATGGGAATTTCACATAAGATTTTCCACTTTGGGGAAGGCTATTTTGTAAGTCTGCAAGCCCCAGCCGCGAACCACGGGTCTCTTTTCACAGGTCCCAAAAGATTCCTGCCAAAAAATCCAAAATAAAGGCATAATGCCCTAATATGGTATTTATTACATGCGGGGTGCCTTCACTGACGCCAAACTGACCAGTCAGAGACCAGTGGGAATATGCGAGGAAAATGGAACAACATTTTCTGATCAAACCGGACCAACTAAGAGGAATGGCTCTTACCAGTTTTTATTCCTTTTCTGAATTTTTTACTTAAAGTGCTACTGAAATGAAATTTTTGTATGTGAGATTTTTGCTTAGTAATAAAGTTTTAACCTTTTTCAGCCGTTCGAAGTTGGCTTGTTAAGCCCAAAATTGGCAGCCATCTTGGTGCAGCCAAAACAGCCCAGTGACGTCATTGGTTGTATTACTCTCATGCCGAAATGAAAATTTAGAGTGATTATGGGAGAAGAGGATACTTTTCGAAGCCCCCCAAAAAACATCTTAAGGACATCTCAGAGCTGTAAAGCAGATAATAACAGTAGACTTAGACATGAAGAGGTGGAGAGTTGATCCTGGGGCTTTTCAGTCTATATAATTGATATTTGCAGGATATTTTATGTAAGCAAGCAAACAAGTGCAGGTTCTTAAATTGCAAAATGATCGGGACACTCGGTGAAATGGCCAGCACTCTTGGGGGGGCAACTCCCAGAAAAATTGGGTGGGAGTGTGCGGCCCGCCTCCCAAAACTCTTACCCTGTTTATGGCCAGAATCTGCGAGATTCCCTACCCTATTTATGACCTGACCAGAAATTTGAAATCCTATTTATGACCTGACCCTAAAACCAGCACCCTGTTTCAGAACTAAGTTAAAATTAGTTCCATAGTTCAGACCAATGTTAAATTACCATAAACATAATTTGTGAAGGGCTTTTGTTGATTGTCTTTTCGATAAGGATGAAAAAGTGGCTTCTTCTTGAAAACATACCCATATCAAGGCTATGGTGCAAAAACCATACCCTATTTATGACCAAAATGGCCAAAATCAGCTAAAAT